AATGTAAGATGACACAGGTCTGGGGACGGGTCCAGTGCGTTAACTGCATTAAAATATTTGAATCACATTATTTTTTCATAAACTGAGAAATTCTTTATATATATATATATATATATATATATATATATATATATATATATATATAAATTAATTAATTATTTATATTAAAAATGTATTATATTAAAAATTAATTAATACTTGCTACATGGAAATATAAAAATATGCATGTTATTTAACAATGATACAAGAAAACAGCAGACAAAAATACTTTAGAAATTTCCAAAATCCAAAAATGGATTGAAAAATCACTTTCAAATCATGTAATGTTTTATGCTTAACATAATTTCATTTATGTATTAATTCTGAAACAGCAAATAAAATGCTTTCCGAAATCATAATTCACTCGATCCTACTCAAGAATAATATTCAAACCATTTGTATCACTTTAAGCGTGTTTTACTGGAAATCACCTTTAAAAAAGTCTTAAATAAAATAATTAAAACATCTCTAGTTCATTTCTATGGGTCGTTCTGAATACCCACGCAAAAGCTAAAAGCCTTCAAAAATTTAATTTCTCCAAAATAAAGCAATTTTTGCTTTTTTACATAACTATATACTCAGCTCTCTAAATAAGTATGATTTGTTTGTCGTGTTGCTTCCCTCACTCAAAACGACAAAGTGCGGCCAATGAAAAAGGCTTGTCAACATTATTCCTTTTATTGATTTAACAATAAAGTCCTCTGGCTTAAGTTTTATGTTGTTATTGCCGCCTATTGAAAATACAATGAAACATGGAAGGGGAAAAAATCCCGAAAGGAATTTCACATAAGACCATCAATGCCCTCTGGATAAAGTGCGCCTGTTATATTCTTCAAATTTTCAAGGGCGTTGCTTGGAAAGCAGCCGTGCCAATGAAATCACGAACTTATCCTCAATCAAAGCAGCTTCAGATGCTAGAATGTTTCATTTACCGCCCCATGCCGTCTGCATTCATATGAGCGCATGCCGTCTCTGCTTCCTTTTAAAAACCACGGGCCGTACCGAAGTATTTAAGAGCTCACGTCTATATGAAGCACTTAAACACAAGGTCTGCGGCTCTGAACGACTCAAGCACTCTGGGTACAGCGGTGGTACGTTCTCGACGCATGTCAAAACAAACACTGAGAGCGTGCGGCATAAAAACTTTCATTGACGAGAATTATCAACGACTTCATAAAACTTTAGAAGAAGTTTGTCGTTCCTTTGCTGCTGGAGTGGTTGGTTTTTCTAACAAGGTTGAATTTACAATGCAGTTGGATAAAACGCAGTTTTATTGTCATTGTTCGCAGCCGCTTTCACAGATAAATAGGAGCCGTGGGCAAAACAAAGGGTGGAATTTAGTGAGAAAACAGCTCGATCTGGTTGGTCTTTAACACATGGGAGTTATATTTTCACCTGTCACATTTGAAAAGGAAGAGGCTGGCAAAATATCCAAGCGGTGAAACGATCACACAGAGGCCTGCAGTGATTTCCTGTGGATTCTGCATCTCCCAAAAAAATCTCTGACTCACTTTCTGTTTGGACTGATTCCGAGCCAAAATCTTTAGTGACATTCATAATCATTTACAAATTAGTGCTGACTTAACGTTCACAAAAAATCTGAGGGTATATTTACATATACCTAATAAAACAAAGTGTTAAATAATGTCTGGTTGTTCATTCAGGTTAGATTTATGACACATTAAATGAATCAAAAGTGACATTTATTATGTTACAAAATATTTCTATTTCAAATAAATGCTGTTTATTTTAAACTTTCTGTTTGTTAAAGAATCCTGAAAACTTAAATATATCATTTTGTTTCCACAAAAATATTATTCAGCACAAGTGTTTTCAACATTTATAATAGGGCTGTGTGATATTGAAGAAAAATGCGATATGCAATAACCGATACGATAATGCTTAAAGTGCCACATGCTCAGATGAAACAGTTCTGTGAACTTCTATAACTATCTTGTGTCATATATATATGGTTATTTGTATGTATGTATGTACCAAGAGTTCCTGTAAAACCACAACCAATTCCTTGTGTTTGCACACACTTAAGTGGTAAATAAAGCTCATTCTGATTCTGATTCTAATAAGAAAGCACCCCTACAACAACTTCTGAAAGTGAACGGTATGTGTTTTACTCGAGCATTACATAAAAATGTTATTTTAACATGAGTTTAGGAACTGAATAATAAAAAGGAAAAATAAAACGCTGCTTAGTATTTAATCTTTGAATTCAATATGCACTGATTCTTATTTAAGCTACAAAACATAGGTAAGAGCAGTGAGTGATTTTCTCTTTGCCTTTTGTTCATGGCCCCAAATATTGCAAGCTGTAGCGATATGCATATTGCGATATGTACATTTGCGATATTTTGATCATTTCAATATATATTGCACAGCCCTAATTTATAATAATAATAAAGGATTCTTGAGCAGCAAAGCAGCATATTAGAATGATTTCTGAAGGATCATGTGACACTGAAGACTGGAGTAATGATGCTGAAAATTCAGCTTTGATCACAGGAATAAATTACATTTGAAAATATATTAAAATAGAAAACAAATTGAAATTATATTTCACAATATAAAAATTTCTGAAAAAGATTTTTGTCGATTTCAGAATTGTTAATCATGCACAGAACAAGATTAAAAATATACCGCTTTGTGTTTTGAAAGCTACTGTACACATTTTCCACAAGACAGCAGAAATCATTTTTAGATATTTGCTTTGATAGTATAAGATACTTTTTTCAAAAACATAAAAAAGTTATTTTAATTTAACTTTTTAGTTATTATCATATATTATCATTAAGATTAATTTAATAATTCAGCAAAAAAGGCAAATAAATCATTTTTTCCCCACCAAAAATAATTATAGTACAAAATACATATATGTGTTTTTAACTTTTTCAAAATTCTAAAACAAGCCTTACTTGATTCATGCGAAATCAAACTTATACTATCAATCTGTCAAGCTATTTGATGATACAGCAGTTTCCAGGGCTGAAGGACACAAATAATTATAGTTTAATCACTAGAAACTGACTTGAATACTACATAACAAGCACAGACCCATGAATACTGTAGGAAAGCAGAAAGGAATCCATATGTAAATATTATTTATGGTATGAACTAAAGCATGATTACAATAAAAATACATCTAAGCAAAACAACATCCACGTCTGCCACAAACTTTAATGACCTTCGAACACACACGTTTAGCTGACACGTCCTCAGAGGAGACACTTTACACACATGCCTTTAATGTGCAACTTCTCCTATGGCTTGAGATGTGGACAAACAAACAACAGAAAACGAAAATGAGTAAACCAACTAAACTGCGACTTTGTTTCAGAAAGGCCTAGATCAACTATGACTGTGTTGAGACATTTTTTAATTAGTGCGGAAAATGCACTATTTATAGTGCGGTTTAATGATGCGAGTCAGGCTAAATCTCTATTGATTTTCTTGTGATATATACAGCTCTATTACAGAAACAACTGATTAAGGAGCTGCACAGATCGCAAACACACAGGCTTGTAACCAATAAAGAATGACACACTTTTCTTTCTTTGATCGAAATAACACACTGTGATATTCTCTATGACGCTTTTAAACAAAGTGTATCTACAAATGAGATCCTTTGGATTAATGGCAGTACTGCAAAATATTTGTCGATTTAAAAATATTTATAAACCAAAATATATTGCTTTGTGTTATGCAAATGAACACATCTGTATTCTCTATTTTGATTTTGCACCTGCTTAAATGTGGTTTATGTTTTGTTTTTTTTTATATTCCAAATGATTTAAAATTATAATAGAACTGCATTAATTCTAAATATAATTCTGAAAATAATTTTGGATGATCTCAGAAGTGTTAGTCATACACAAAGTGATAATAAAAAATATTTATAAATATAAAATGTACTGCTTTGTTTTTCAAACACTACAAAACAATATTGAAAACAGAAAGACAAAAAATACAGACTTAGTATATTTTAATTTTGCGCCTGCTTAAATATGGGACTCGTATTGAAATGTATAATAAATATATATTTTAATAATTATAATTTAAAATAAACATTTTAAAATGAATAAAATAAACGATCAAATTAACCTACATTTCTGAAAAGTTTTTTTTTTGGCGATTTCAGAATTGTTAATCATGCACAGAGCAAGATTAAATATATTTATAAACAAAAATATACACAGGTCAGATCTGTAGATGATGTAAGATTTGAACAATTTATTGCAATATTCTGTATATTTTGATTTAGTGCCTGCTTAAATATGGGATTCATAATAAATATACTGTATTTTAGTAATGATTTAAAATAATAATCAAATAACATTTTAAAAAGTAAAAGTATTTTTTTGTCGATTTAAAAATTGTTAATCATGCACAGAACAAGATTACAAATATTTGTAAATAAAAACATACCGCTTTGTGTTTTAAAAGCCACTCTACACATTTTCCACAAAACGGCAGAAAATGAAAAACCGGACAGACCTCTAGATGATGTGATATTTAAATAATTTAAAACAATATTCTGAATGTTGTTATCTAGTGCCTGCTGAAATGTGGTATTTATATTAAATTAATAATAAATCACATACGCGTGTTTTTCATATTTAAAAATTAATTAAATGGCTAAAGTAAATTACTAACTAAATCTAATTTTCCCAGAATGTTCAAAGCAGCTTGGCTGCATTAAAGCCGAACTCAACAACCATTAATAATGATTTAACGGGAAAAGGAAGTAACAGAGGAGGAGGTCTTTCGCCAAAAATAATTTCACCCAGATTCTGACAGTTGCTAAAAGAGAAACGCTGGAAAAGGAGATTTTCAGCGTTTACCAGAAGTCTGGATAAAAGTTCACTCCACACACAGATGCTCTCAGTCTGTTAAACAGCAATGATCTCTTCACTCCCCATGGCTTACAGAGCGTCGAGAAACACTCTTACCTGCAGCGAGTTCAGGAGGCTGAAGACGTACGCGATAACCACGGAGAACGGCACCAGGACGCCACAGAGCCACGTCAGGCCCAGGATCGGCAACAGGACCAGCACGGCTTTCACTGCTGCCCTAAAAGCAGACGAATGATATGAAAAACACTTTATTTTATTATATTGGTGCATATATACGATCGTACACACACACACACAGACGGATTTCAGGGGTCACAACAGGAGCTGCTGCTTATTCTCACATTGTGACAATTTCCACGCTAAATCGCTTTTAATTCTGTTTAGTATAAAATTACCTCCCTATTCAGGTAACCGCTAAAGCGAACCAGCTGCGGTCCGAACGGGCCCTGCCAAGCAGAGGAAGTGTGTGTTTGATTTTCCTTGGAGTCACACACAGGGGCCTTCTGAGGGCCCCCCATCTCAGCGACTGATGCTGGAGGTCCAGACGTGTCGAAATGTTGGGTACGTGTGGCAGCTAAATTTGCGTTGTGGTTATTTACTGAATCTATAAACCAACATGAGAATTGGTATAAAGGCCTGTTTTTAAAAAACATAACGCCGGGGTCCTGCAGTGACCGAGCTGTCTGAAAGTTTACTCTTGAGGGGGAGAAAAAAACGTAGAATCGTTCCATTAATGGGCCAAAAAACAAACAAAACATTTGATGTTGAAAGAGGCTGTAATGTGCAAATAGATGATTTTAATAGAAAGCCAAACTGACTAGGATCAGTCAGACGGGAGCACAGCTGTGAAAGGGCACCTCCATGTGGCCACATGAGAAAGCGTACCTTATCTGCTCGGAGACCTGCTCTTCTGGGCTGCTGTTCAGAGTCATCATCAAAGATCTCCTCTTGGCTGTGGCCATGGTGATCACCACCACACGGGTCAGAATCATGACATTCACCTTAAATAATACAACTTTTTTAAAATAATAATTAACATAATTATTAGAATCTATAAAAAGCATTATTATTATAAATATTAAACATGCACATATATATGTACAGTAAGTGCACACATATAAAACATAAAGTGTTAACACATGAGTGTGTGTTGTCATTTTTTGTCATATGTAAATATACATAAAAAATATAAACGTTATACACGTTATATGTATTAACGTAATAATTACTGCATTGTTATTATACAGCATATATATAAACATAATAATAATAAAAATTATTTAAAAATGTAATTTAAATTATATATATGCATTTATTTTATTATGTTATTATTTTGTTATTAAATATATATAATAAAAACATTTGTGCCATGTGTTATTTATTTATTTATTGTTGTTATTATAAATATTAAATATACGTATATGTAAGTGCAAATATTTAAAAAAGAACATGTTGCCACACATGTATTTTTTGTATTATAAACTTTATACAAATGTTATCTATTAATGTAATAATTACTACATTATTATTACATCGCTTATATATTAATGTAATAACAAAAAATATAATACCTTTTTGTAATTTGCATTTTTAACTGTATACCAAAAAATAACACACTCTATTATTATACAAATATTGCATATTCTAACATTATAAAAATACAATAAATTAAACATATGTGTAATCAAACCGTTTTATATTATATATTTGTATGTGTATATATTTATTGTGCTATTAAACACACCTAACAAAAACATTTAGCATGTTATTTATTTATGTTGTTTTATTTATTTTTGTTGCTGTTGTTGTTATTTTACATATTAAATATACACATATACGTAAGTGCACATATATATAAAAAATTAAAAGAACATTTTGCCACACATGTGTGTATATTTTTGGATAATATAAAAATACATGAACAATATAAACTTTATACAATGTTATATATGAATGTATTAGTACTACAATATTATTATAAAGCTCATATATTAAAGTAATAATAAAAATTCTACATAATACATTTTTTTTTGTAATTTATATCTTTAACTGTATATACCAAAAATAACACACTATATTATTATTTTAAAAATATTGCATTTTGTAACATTCTAAAAAAAAAAAACACACACACACACACACACACACACATTACATATATATATAATTAGGAAACAAAAACGTTTTATATTATATATTTTATACATGTATGTATTTTGCATTTGTTTTTCATTCATTACTTTATTTATTTATTTATTTATTTACTGCTTGTTATTATTATTATTACGATTATAAAAGAGAACACTGATAGATGTAAAGACACACCATAATAATGAAGATGACTGGTCCTGCAAAGCCCCATATGACTCCGTTCTGAACACTGAGCCAGCAGTGGCCATCCGCTGAGTAATTCCCAGCAGCAGAGGCCAGTGTGATGGTAACGATCAGCGCGGGCAGACCTGTTAAACAACACACATTTCTATATCACACGTGGCGTTTTAAAGCTTGAAAAGTATGCTTATGCTATTTTTATTTTACTTTTTCAAATAAATGGTTTACGGTAACGGTGACACATTTTAAGGGTGTGCTAATACTTTGCTGTACAAGGTTGAATATAAATGTCTCAGCTTACATGGCAGGTTGGATGTTAATTTAAGAAAAAGTAGTGCAAACTAAAATCAAGTATATGTGAATATTTAGTGCTATCAAATCAACAGGAAACCTGCATTCCTGTACTCTTGAACCGAATCAATAACTGCGCAGTACAACAGATTGAAGAGGAGATTGGGGGCGGAGTCGCATTACCCCAGCCAATCAGGTAGTAGTATTTCATGTGTCGGTCCTCGCTCAAATTAACGCTCACTACTTTGCTCCAGAGCAGCAGGCCCTCCACCAGCATCCAGCTGAAGGCTGCCATGAAGAACAAATGCATCAGAGCTGCCACAAGCGTGCAGGCCACCTACAGGGCAAAGGTCAGAGAGCAGGCGGGTCAAGGGTCAAAAGATCAAACAGCCACACAAATGCAGCCGTACTTATCCAACGCCAAATATGGCTACAGCACTAATGTCGTTTTAAGACACTGTCAGACTGCTGCTACTGAGTTTGTTCTAAAAATAGACTTGGTTTCTTTTTTAAAAATTCAATATCATAGGCCGGATAGCATTTAATAAAGCAATAAGCCACTAGAGGATGCGCGTTCGAGTGATTTTGAACTTGACACCCTTAACATAGTAAAAACACTGTAATACATGACCTTGCATGGCGTATACTAATGCTAAATAAAGCTCTTTCTGATTCCGATTAAACAGACTGTTACATTAATATTATTAATACATTTATATCACAGTTTTAAAAAGAATTACAATTTATTGTGTAAAAACAGTGTTGCAAACTAAAATAATAAAAATGGTGTTACGTTATTGAAATAAAGCTGAAATTGGATGAAAACTTGAAATAAAACTTAAAGAAAAACAATTAAGACATACTGAAATTGAATAAGCTGAAGTACTAAAATTACTGAACTAAACTTAAAAATTATTTATTTAAAAATTAATTAAATATTTTAGCTCAGGTCCAGTAACTAACATTAATAGATACAAATTTTGAGTTGAATAATGTATTAGTAAAAGTTACAATGCCTTAAATGCTTTAGAAGTATTTTTTATTGTTAGTTTATTTGAACTAATGTAGTTACCTATTATTAACAAATGGAACCTCATTGTAAAGTGTTAGATTATTTTATATAAAAAACATTAATAATAATATCATAAAATATTCTTATGCATAGCTGTGCTGTTATCAACTAAAGCTAAATCTATAATAATTTGTTTTAAATGTTACACAACTGAAATAAAGTTTAATTAAAATAAAATAAAACTTAAATAGAAAAAATAGAAATGTTGCCTTCACAATTAACTGAAATAAATCAGTTTAGGTTGAAGTACTAACATAACTAAAGCTAAAACTGAAATAAAAATAAATGATTATATTATTATTATATTAATATAATTATATTAAAATAATTAAACTACAATAATTACATTTTAATAAAATAATTATATAAAATATACCAACGATTACAACCTAATTTAGAATATTATGCTACCAAATAAATGTGTGAAAAACACCAAACCTTATTATGAACAGCAGAACCGCTGCAGAGAAGGACAATTTGAGCACAAGTCAGAGACACAAAAAGATTTTTGTGAACTGATGTCCGATCTGATTTCGGGATGCTGTTAAAAAAAATAACAAAACACTTTTTGTCATATATGCATTTCTGGCAATCATTCAGACACATTTTGAGAATGACGAGGCAAAAAATGTTATGTATTTTGGTAACCCAGATGCAGTATGTGTGTGGGTTGATTAGCAGCAAACAGGCCATCAATCTCTTAAAGAAACCAGCTTGGCTGATACTGCGTTGATTAACCTCTCTTTGTGTGACCCTTCCCTTTAATTAACTCTCCTGTAATGCCACCATAAAACTTCAGCTTCAGGCTCATTTGGCACAGAGCGCTAATTAGCCGATTAGTGGTTTTCAATACTTATTCAGCCTCACAACTGAGTGCTATTGACGGCGTGCTGCTGAGAGTCAAGCAAATGTTATGCTGTCGTGACCCTTCTGAACCCAACACTGGAAGTTAGACATCAGAAAAGAGAGCGAATCAAATGCTGCCAGGGCACATCATGCAGGAGCCCCAACAGAAGCACACGGCTCTTGTCATGCAGGTAGTGCATCGGTGAAAAGCACTTACTCTAACACGGTAAACAGCATCAAGGTCACCACCAGTGCGCAGAGAGACGCTCCGGATCCGATAAACGTCAGTTTCGTCAGAATGCTCTCCTCTTTAGCACTCCACTGCGGGGAAAAGACCCATCAAAACACAACGCTCTGTCTGTCTCTCAATCTAACTGTCTGGGAAACATACGTTAACTACCGTGTTTATTAGGACTGATGCCATTACTGCACTGGAGTGGCGCTTAGGCATTAATGTGAGATCAGATTTGCTCGTTATGAAGTTCTGCAGACGAACTTCTCACATAATGCTCAATACAAACCACAAAAACTACTATTAAGGCCCGCTTGCGTTTGTAAGCTAACAGTGGCCTCTATTGGACAGATTGTGTTATAACAGGAAAATGTGATCAGTGAGGATAGTATATTTATGTAAAAGATCAAACAGCATATTAACATTTTTCAGGAAATAACTTAACTTTTAGTCTTACATATTGTACCATATTTATATTAGTATAAATATTTTTGTTTATTAAAAATTGTGTGTGTGTATATATATATATATATATATATATATATATATACAGTATGTGTTATTATAGATATATATATATATATATATTATATGTGTATTATGTAATGCATTTAAGTAAAAATTATATTTAATTATATATTATATATTTTTTTCTTAATATTTAAAA